CTTTGTTATATATATATATATATATATATATATTGCACTAAAGGGCAAAAGCAGGATCCTGAGCTTCCACGCAGGAGATTCCTGAACAGCCAAGTCAAGTCTGACTATGCAGCACATAGACTCCTCCTATTTCTTCACATCTCTGCATGATTCTGTCGCGTTTACTCTCTTCCTCTTAACATTACTTTAAAATACTTCTCTCCCTAAGATACTTCTCTCGCTTTGAGTGCTTCTAAACCGAGATAACGTTGTGCACTTTATATAAAGACGAAACATCATCGGTAGCAGGTTCGGCGGTATGGTAAGCCTCTAGCTTTTAGACCTTGGACCATTTTCATCGTTCAAGATGAGACAAACTAAGCGAGTGTCTCTTGGGAATGAATACAACACATTTGATTCCACATACTGTCTGTCTCAGCTCTATTCTCCCTCAATATGGACGCTGAGAAACCCGAACACATGGGACTGTTCTTAGCCCTACTATCGTCCTCGATACGGCCAAATTTCTGCTATATATACCCCTAGCTGACACATACTCCGAAACTTCTACAAGTGCATTTGGAAACACGAGCAGAAACCCTTCATCTGGTACAGCCATACCCAGGAGCAAGGAACTTCTGGAGATCGATTCAAGGAGAACCAGTATATACGTAATGACTGCTATACTTTTTGACGACGAAATTAAACTCAACGGGCTGTTGGGGGACGAAAATGATGTCGCCTATTGCTTGGTATTAAGACATGATTCGACAATCTGCCAACAGGAGCAAGCGTTGGACAACTTTCGCGAAATGGGTCTCGAGGATACCGAACAGAACTTTGGAATGGGTTTTGTTGGTATCACAGGGTGATGCAAAGTAAATACGTATTCAAGGTGTGAGTGTGTTCAGTTGGTATTGCATACCTATCTAAGTACGTAAGGTGGTAGCTTCTTATAGCTACCGATGCAAACGGAAGGTACAAACGGGTATCCACGTGATTTGACCTGTTTAACCTGAGTTGACCGAGTTGACTCAGTTGAGTGTAATCAACTAAGCTGACCGCTGGTTCCAACACTCGCAGTCTTTCTTTCTTGCTAACAGCAAGGTAGGTAAAATGAAGGTGGGAGGGAAAAAATCAAAAAACTCCGTACGCTAAGGTAGCTCCTTTAATAGAAAGCACCGAAAATAATCTTTTTCAGCTCTCTCTTTCAACCCAACCTTCCAGTTTAACTTTTAGCTTATTCGTATTTAAAAAAGTCTTTAGCGCTTTATTAAGTGTTCCCTTTGTCATTGCGTCGGCGGTGTTGTGCTCTCTAGCAATCCATCGAACCTTAGTAAGTTCCCTCCTCTCGTAAGATTACTTGAGCGCCATAATATCGATCATAAGGCGCTTTTCTTTCGTAGTGCTAAGCTTCACTAAGCACTCGTAAAAGGAGTAGGAATCGGTGAAGACGATTACTAGGATGGCGAGCAGACTGAGTTGTTTTGTGACCATAGCGAGTGTAGTACTTATTGCAATCGCAATGTCGACTCTAGCTATTATACCGTAAACCTCGGACGCTAGTACGCTCTTAGTAACTCGAGGGCACTTCACCGACGAGTAATGGACCAGATTGCCCTCCAATTCGATCTCGTTGGTCCTTGTTCTTGTGTTTTGCTCGGTAGCCAAAATAATCGTGCATCCAATCTAGGAACTCAAGTCTTTGTTATTGGCAAAAGAGCCATCGACGAAGACGAATAGCTTAGCGTTCCTTACAGAGATAGGAATATACCGAATACCGCGGTCCAAGTTGTTTATCATCCATTGGATTCGCTTGTTCAAGTTCTCTAGGACTTTCTGCGAGTCGGAGGTCCATTCGAGAGGTTTGTCGTCCAAGAGGATATCCACGAATACCTTCTTATAAGGTACACCAGTACTGATAGGCTTGATTGGCACTCCATTTAGGAGTAGATGTCGCTAAAGGTTTCTGCAGCACATCTTCGTAGCTAATGCAAAGGTGTCTTGTGTCTAGCCCTCGAAGTCTTCCTGAAACAACTCTCTTAAGTTGGTTCTAGAGTATCGATAAACGTTTTCGTAGCCGGTAAGCATCAAGAGGATGTAATCATTTACGATTTCCGTAGTGTTTTCTATGCTTGCAGAGTCGAATTTTCTCTTTTAGGCTTCTTCGTCGACTTTGAAGCCTATGTGATCGGGAATAGGTGATATGTTTTCGTATTAAGGGCGTGTAAAGTAGTGATTATCGTAGAAAGGGTATCGTAAAAAAGTATCGTGAGAGAGGTGTGGTAAGGTGGTAAAGAGGTGGTGGGTTGCGTGATAGACGCAATTGAGCAAGTATCGCTCTTGAGCTCGTAAGTTCGGACGAAAACAAGGAGATCAGGTTCTCTTCTTAGCGCAAGAGTACTTTAAGGAGCAAGGCGATCCTCGTGTTAAGAGGGTCGTTCTTTTTACCTAAGTAGTTGCTTCTTTTGAGAGTTACCTTGCTGTCTGTGGTTTGTGAAGTAAACCACTGATCAGTGTTGGTATCACAAGGTGATGCAAAGTGAATACGTATTCAAGGTGTGAGTGTGTTCAGTTGGTATTGCATACCTATCCAAGTACGTAAGGTGGTAGCTTTTTATAGCTACCGATGCAAACGGAAGGTACAAACGGGTATCCACGTGATTTGACCTGTTTGACCTGAGTTGACCGAGTTGACTCAGTTGAGTATAGTCAACCAGGCTGACCGCTGGTTCCAACAGGTTTCGACCTAGATCCTGGTTTCGAAGGTCCATATAGAGACCTTCTCGCCTGTAATAATGGGGTAACTCTTCCCAATTTTCGCAAGTAGAGCTAAAACCAATTGAACAGGCGACTTCGAGCTATCACTATAATATTAAGATAACATTCGAGATTCCATGCACTGATCGATCACATCCACGATTGACGAAAGCGAGCGAAGAGCTTTGGACGAAAATTCGACGGAAATAGTATGAGCATGATGATGTCCAAAACAACACTCATTCTTGTTTAGCTTCGGCTGCATCCGACCTTCCTATACTGCTTAGCAAGCCGTCCCCTGCATTGTGAATGTGAAATGATAACTTCTCCATCTCAAGATTTGCCAGTACTGGCCATATTCATGAAGGCCGAGACGATGACGGGGCCATGCCGCGGTACTTCTATACCAACATACCTACTCACAACGGGCTCATCTGCACCTCCCTTTCGCTGTTTCTGGCGGGAGGGGTAACAGCAGCTGTGTAACAGTCTGGTCTTTTTCAAGAATCCAACAAAAAGCACATAGTCCTCGGCGGCTTGCTGAGCCGGCTTAGCCGAGACAGATTAGGCTGAAACGACGAGTTGGAGTAGAGCGAATGCTTGGAAGGAGGATGGATACCGGTAGCAGTTGAAATAGTTCTTGGCCATAGCTCATCAAATCTAGGCTGATTGTATGGGTTACGTCTTATGAATTTATGAATAGCGTCTGTTGTCGGCTTGCGATCGTAGCGAGATGAATGTACAAGCTCGGAGGATTTGAAGAGCGCAATACATTTTTTTTTAATTTAAACCTTCATAGAGATAGAGTAAATTATGGAGTAGAATCAAATAACTGAAATTTATAGATGACTTCAAAAGATGGTGATATGTATGCCAATTTTTTATTCGAATGTAATACAATCACAGGTAGCTGTAAAGAACGCAGGATCATCTGTACTAGCCTAGCTGTTCAGTGATTGTTTACGGAGTACTTACTTATTCCGGTCCGAAGTACATATCCCTGTATTCCTGATGCTCGATCCCCCGCCATCCCTCATCGATGAAAGTGTATAGATTCACTGCGACTCCGCTACAATAATCGCTCGCATGAGACCTGACGCGCCATACTACTCGACGACCTGAAACCATTGGCTTGTATGCAAGCTGTAAATCGCCGAGCTGAGAAAGTTCTATTCCTTTCCGCCACGACCGTGTCTGCCTCGACACAACCACCCCACCATCCACGTCGCAGACAACGCAACCTCCAAGATGTTGAAGATATGGTCTATGGTAAGTTCGTAGCCGCAGATCGCTCTCTATCGCGAGCCCCATCCCACACACCTCTGGGAAACTCGTGAGCATGTGCTAACAACCTCGTAGAAGCAGAAGCAGCAGCAAGAGGCTAACGCAGATGCTGCTGCAGGCAACAAGAGAAAGAAGGTTACCGCTGCGCAGCTTCGAGTCCAAAAAGGTATGACCTTTCATCCCACATGCTCTAGTCTATGCTGCTTCATACTAATCGTTACGCCTAGATCTCTCGGAGCTGTCTCTCCCCAATACCATGAAGACCGACTTCCCAGACCCCGATGATACCCTCAACTTCACACTCACGATCGAACCGGATGAGGGCATGTACAAGGGTGGCAGATTCCACTTTACGTTCGCGATCAGCCAAGGCTTCCCCCATGAGGCACCGAAGGTCAAGTGCACGCAGAAGATCTACCATCCCAACATTGATCTGGAGGGAAACGTCTGTCTAAACATTTTGCGGGAAGACTGGAAGCCGGTGCTGAATCTGCAGGCCGTTATTGTCGGTCTCCAGGTATGTCTATCCCTACTCCGGCTTACGGGTACCAGTGCAGCCAGTCGTGCTTACAGGATGCCATAGTTCCTCTTTCTCGAGCCAAACGCCTCTGATCCTTTGAACAAAGAAGCCGCGGAGGATTTGCGATCCAACAGAGAAGGTTTCAAGCGTAACGTCCGGTCGGCTATGGGTGGTGGGGCGGTCAGGAGTGAGTCTTTTGACAGAGTGTTGAAGACGTAGTGAAGGTTGGGGGAGAATATACGCGGCACGATACAATGAACCTAAAGATCTATACTTTCATGTCTACACGAGCGATCATTCTTCCGGCGTGAGGGGGCGTTGATACCTGGCGGATCTGGCGGACCTGGCGGACCTGGGAGTAAATACAGGCAGGCTGAATTAGGCTTTACGTGCAGCGTAGGCAGCAAATCCTTTTTTTTCTTTCCTTTTTTTTTGACTTTCGAGCTGGGTTTCAATGAATGCTACATCTAAGTTCTCCTTACCCAGCTAGTATTCATTCGTATTGCTGTGCATTCAAGCTCTAGTGATTCGGAACTTGTTCCTTTTGTTCACATCCCGAGCAAACTTCCTTTGCAAGAGGAAATTCGAACAAATATTAGAATAGTTTTGATATTTATCCTATCCAGTTTAAGAACATCAAAAATCCACCTGGACTATTTAATATGGAGTTGGCCCTCCTTACACATTGATTACAGCTTAATAACGCCTCTACCACGATTCGTATAAAGATTCGATATAGCTATTAAGAATAGCGTCTTAAGCTTCCGATATGACTTCTCGTAATCTCTTACAGAAATCGATTAAGAGTTATAAACAGATAGAAAATATCATTCTTAGATAGAACAGTTTCTTTCGAGCGTATACGTCGTTTTTTCGGTATTTAAAAAGGACAAGTCATAAAAATGCTCCCCATTAAAGGAATTGGTGAATTCAATAACTTATTAATATTCATTCTCGCTATCAATAGATTATGATAGATCGATTATATACGGAGGTACAGCGCTTAAGTGTCGTAAACCTCGTCGACCTACAGCTAATTTTTCTAACCTAATTGGATTCTATTAAAATGAAGTTCTTGTTTGATTCCGCGCTTAGCGACCACTTTCTTGCTCAAGTGAGTTAGAAAAAGTAGCTGTAGGTCGACGAGGGTTACGACATTTAAGCGCTGTACCTCCGTAAGCTTTACATGCAGCGTAAGCAGCCGCACCCCCACCCCCCTCAACCCCACCCCCCCAACCCCCATTCCCACCCCCACCATTTTTTTTTTGTGAACTTTCGAGCTAGGCTGAAAAATTAAAAAATGCTATGTAAAGTTTTCTTTACTCAAATAATATTCATTCGTATTGCTATACGTTCAAGCTCTAGTGATTCGGAACTTTTCCTTTTGTTTACGTCTCGAGCGAACTTCCTTTGCAAAAGGTTTGCTCCTTTGCAAAAGAAAATCCAAACAAACATTAGGATAGTTCAAATATCTTATCTCATCTAATCCAAGAATATCAAAAATCCACCTGGACATAAGTTTCCCTCTTCTACCACTCATAACGTCCGTATTTACCATTTACTACGTACTACCCCACCGTATCACCTTCGCCCAGGCCCACTACATTGACTTCCGACTCCACCCTGGAGATGCATGCCAAGGCCGATCTCGCTCGTCCGCAAGCTTGAAAAATAAATCGCATAATGTTGACCGGCTCCTCATAATCAAACAACCAGTATTTCTTTTTCCCTCCACCCACCACTTCACTTCATCAACTACACATCATGGCCTCCCGCACAACATCGAGGGCTCTTCGCTCACCACTGGCAAGGCAATTGAGCGCTCCAGCTCGCCGCACCTTCGTCTCTGCTCTCAACGCCTCTACAAGACCCTCAGCTACCCGTGCTGCTGTTGCACCTGTTCAACAGGTCAGAGGTGTGAAGACCATTGACTTCGCTGGTGTTAAAGAGGATGTCTACGGTAAGAATTGTCACTCTCACTATTTTCGAGTTCAGATGCTGACCATTGCTCCAGAGAGAGCCGACTGGCCGGCTGCAAAGCTCCAGGTTTGTCCTCACTTCACCGCACTATCGAACTACATACTGATTCCAGCATAGGAATTCTTCAAGAATGACACAATGGCAATCATCGGATATGGCTCCCAAGGCCACGCCCAGTCCTTGAACATGCGTGATCAGGGTCTCAACGTCGTTGTTGGTGTACGAAAGAACGGCCAGTCGTGGAAGGATGCTCAACAAGATGGATGGGTTCCGGGAAAAACTCTCTTCGAGGTCGACGAGGCTATCTCCAAGGGTACCATCATTATGAACTTGCTCTCTGATGCTGCCCAAAGTGAGACCTGGCCCGCACTCAAGCCCCAGATCACCAAGGGAAAGGTAAACCGCGACATAACTTTCCAAATGGTCCAAGCTGACTCTTGTAGACTCTCTACTTCTCTCACGGTTTCTCCCCAGTCTTCAAAGATCAAACCAAGGTCGATGTCCCAACCGATGTCGATGTCATCCTCGTTGCTCCCAAGGGATCCGGTCGTACCGTCCGAACTCTCTTCCGTGAGGGTCGTGGTATCAACTCCTCGATCGCCGTCTTCCAAGATGTTACCGGAAAAGCCAAGGAGAAGGCCATCGCCCTCGGCGTCGGTGTCGGAAGTGGTTACCTCTACGAGACCACCTTCGAAAAGGAGGTCTACTCCGACTTGTATGGTGAGCGTGGTTGCTTGATGGGAGGTATTCACGGCATGTTCCTCGCACAATACGAGGTTCTCCGTGAGCAAGGTCACAGCCCCAGCGAGGCTTTCAACGAGACTGTCGAGGAGGCCACCCAATCTTTGTACCCATTGATTGGCGCAAACGGAATGGACTGGATGTACGAGGCCTGCTCTACCACTGCCCGTCGTGGGGCCATCGACTGGAGCGGAAAGTTCAAGGATGCCTTGAAGCCTGTCTTCAACGACCTATACGCCTCTGTCAAGACCGGAAAGGAGACCGAGAGATCACTTACCTTCAACGCACAGCCTGATTACCGTCAAAAGTACGAGGCCGAGATGAAGGAGATCCGCGACTTGGAGATCTGGAGAGCAGGAAAAGCTGTTCGGTATGTGCATAACACCCTATTCTTGAAACCTTGTATTGACAGTTGCATAGCTCGCTCCGCCCTGAGAACCAGAAGTAAGGTTGGGTTGGGCATTTAGCGACACTTGGGGCTGGTTATTCTGACCCGGAGTGGTGGATCTCTGCGAGCTGTAAATATTCCTTCTTCTACGGAGAGATATGGAATCTGCAGCTTCAAAAAGTTTTATTACATCTGCCTTCAAGCCTTGTTTGGTTTTCCACTTGCGTTGATACATCGTCAGATTTTTATTTTCTTGAGTACCATGTGACATGACTTGCGTCTAACTCCGCAATCGGGAAGAGAAGTTCCGAAGTCAACGCGGGTCGAGTAAGTCTCTCCCGTTAATCCTTTCTACATCCTCTATGAATACACAGTCTTCTTCCCTACTTCCCCTGCTTCGGTTTTTCCAGACATGGCCGACCCGACCAAGAGCCCACCGCTGGTGCGCGACTCTGTCATTGCCGCTCACGCCCTCATCAAAGAGCAAATCCATTACACACCAGTCCTCACGAACACTACCCTCAACGACCTAGCCTCCACGCCGCAATTCTTATCCTCACTCGCCGATACACCATGGGCCGGTCAGCATCCTTCGAACCCGAAACTGCGGCTCTACTTCAAATGCGAGAACCTGCAGAAAGTGGGGGCGTTCAAAGTCCGCGGTGCATTCCATGCACTGAAACGATTGATAGCGGAGGAGGGGTGGGAAGAAGGCGGGGGGAGGGAGAAAGGCGTCGTGACGCATAGCTCTGGTTAGTAACTACCAAGTGTGGAGCTCGCCTTCAAGTCGAGGTTCAAGAGAGATGGAATAGACTGGACGGTTGGCTGACATCCTTGTCCCTCCCACTAGGTAACCACGCACAGGCCCTCGCCTTCGCAGCACGCACGATAGGTATGCCAGCCCACATTGTCATGCCTACAATCTCCACGCCCTCCAAGATCGCAGGCACACGTGGCTATGGCGCCAATGTCATCTTTAGCGGCAGCACCTCTACTGAGCGCGAGGCCGTCGTCGCAGACGTGGTGAAACAGACCGGCGCTCGTCTCGTTCCTCCGTACGATCACCCGGATATCATATTAGGGCAAGGCACTCTCGCCATAGAATTGCAAGAACAGGCTGTGGAGATCATCAACGAGAATGACGGGAAGGGGAGGAAAGGATTGGATGCAGTCATTGCGCCGTGTGGAGGTGGCGGCATGCTGAGTGGCACGGCGATAAGCTGCGAGGGGACTGGGATCAATGTTTTTGGTGCTGAGCCGGAGTTCGAGGGCGGGGATGATTGTAAGAGGGGTTTGGAGGCGGGGAGAAGGGTTGAGACTGTCAAGACGCTTACGATTGCTGATGGGTTGCGGACGCCGGTTGGTAAGTTGCTTTTCTCTTTCTCCCCTGGAGGGTGGGGAGGAGGGGGGAATATTCATATTCCCGGAGTATATGGGGATGTATGAAAGAAGGGTGCTTACGTTTGTAGGCGCGTACCCCTGGACGGTCATCCACGATAGAAAGCTCGTACGGCAGATGTTCAGCGTGACGGAAGAGCAGATCCTCAAAGCCATGAGGCTGGTGCTGGAGAGGATGAAGGTCGTAGTTGAGCCTTCCGCCGTCGTCGGGTTAGCAACCGCGCTGTACAATGAGGACTTTCGGCGGATCGTGGAGAAAGAGGGTGGTGCTGACGGATGGGATCTGGGTATTGTGTTGAGTGGGGGCAACACGTCCGTGGAGGCTATTGGCAAGATGTTCGCTGTGAGCGAGGTGGAGGCGCAGAGGCAGGAGGGTGTTGTGGGCTTGCACGGTACGAAGGAGGTTGAGAATGTCGCTGGGTAGGTAGATGGGCGTTGTAGACTGAGCGAGCTCTTGGGACGACGAACGAATCGTCAGTCAGTGACGATGAGTTATTGGTGTCCAGGAAAGAGGAGCACTTGTTTCCTTGTGACGATCAGTGGCCTCCTGGACCTTGGTGGAATTCCCAGTCGACCAGTCGGGAAAAGGGATTGCTCTGTCGCACTGTCGCACTCGTTCTCGAATCAGATTTGGGACAAGAATAGTCGACGATGCCATGAGAGCTCAATACGGACGGTTTCGACTACCATTTACATCTGGTATTGAATTCTGGCCTTCAAATAAATTCTGCTGTATGGTGCACCCAATGTCGGTTTGGATCTGAAGATATTCGACACCAAATTTGGAGTAGGAGATAAGTCGGCTAGCTAGTTAGGTACCTAGGTGGGCGATGAATAAAGGTGGAGATTTACGCGAACTATGGATGATCTCTAGTGAACAATTGATGAGCTACCCCCTCTTAACTAGTGTGACATATCAAAGCGAGCTCAGCAAGCAAAATTTTAAATTGGTTATATCTCTATATACTCAGCTCGCTTCCACATACGACCATAGACTGAGGAGAATTGGGCATCCCGTTCGCTCTGCCATACACAAGCCTCAGATCGGCAGATTAGTAGTTGGGTGGGTGACCACCAGCGAATACCTGCTGTTGTATGTTTTTGATTTATTGGCTTCATGCTGCATCTCCTGAGCCTTCCTTCCGTCCAGGCGAGAAAACATTGCCATCTTTTGAAGCCTCCGCTAGCGCTCCTGCATTCGAGACGAGACCGAATCCCATAATCCTCACTCAGAAACCAACAGATCTCTTCGTATTGCGTACGAGCTCAGAAATCCTCTTTCCAACCTGAGACCAAGCCTGGCATCTCGACGAACCCGGTTACTCGAACCAAGAGTTCAGGATCACCTCATTTCAGGCTTCCCGTTTGATACTCACAACTGCACCATAGCGATCTGTAAGAAGTCCAATCGATTTTCGATTCTCTGGTTTGAGAAGGATATCTCATCTACCGTATCGACGACGTTTCCCCGCTACGGCTACTACCGGTCTTTCCAAATCAAGACAATACGCCTACCTCCCGGATCCATCCTCAGTACAGAATGGCCCTGCGCGCCTCCATCATAACAGACAGGACTCAAACCAACCCCACGCAGGGCATTGGCCGAGGACATTTATATGTGTAGTGGCTTTTATCTTCTTTAAGTTCTGCCTGTTTTCATGTGTGATCTTGTCCAGGCCTGTGAGTCGTGGACAACGTGATAAATTTCCTATATACGTTGTTGGTTCAGCTGTTGACTACAAAGAGGTACATCAGTAAATATCTACCTCTTGAGGAATGAACGAGTGATGAATGAACTTATAAAATCATCGTACCATATAGAACGAGCATGCGGAATTTATTGCGCCTAGATTATAAGCCACCGGGTAGTTCAACGTTCAATGAGACTGTTTGACTCTAGGCAATGACGATGATAATAGTAGATCCTTTCATGGTATGCTCGATCAGCTTGTAGGTTAGGGAACGAGCGGTAATCATTCAAAGACTTTCTATTAAAGAGCCATGCTTTCATGCTTAAAGCTTTTCTGTCCCTCTCCCTCGCCATAGTCCAGAGAGACTTGCCCACCACCACGAATCTTATACTTGTAGATCATCAAACCCTCCAAGCCCACCGGACCTCTGGCATGGATCTTATTTGTGCTGATCCCAACTTCCGTGCCAAACCCGAAACGCATACCATCAGCCATACGGGTGGAAGTGTTCCAGAATACGCCTGCCGAGTCAATACTTGCCATGAATTGCTCGGCGAGTGGAGTGGAAGAAGTGAGGATGACGTCGGTGTGATGGGAGCCGTGGGAGTTGATGTGAGAGATTGCTTCAGAGATGGTACTGACGGTTTTGATGGCCAGTACTAGGGATAGGTGCTCTGTATCGAAATCGACATCCTTGGCATCTTGTAGAGTGGCTGATGACTGAGCCGAAAGTTTGGACGTGAGAGCTTTTTTGCTGGCCGCATCACATCGCAGTGAGACCCCCTTGGCAATGAGAGCCTCTGCTGCTGCTGGGAGTAAGGTTTCTAAAGAAGCATCCTCGACTAAGAGAGTCTCGAGACTGTTACAGGCTGCTGGGTAGGAGGTTTTGGAGTCAACGATAACTTTAACGGCCATCGCTGGATCAGCAGAATGCTCGAGGTAGATGGAGCAAAGACCGTCCGCGTGGCCGAGAACGGGAATTTTAGTGTTATCCTTAATGTAACGAACAAGTTCGTTTGAACCTCTTGGGATTGCGAGGTCGATGTACCGATCAAGAGCCAGTAGTTGAGGAATTACATCTCGAGTAGTGACAAGTTGAATAGCTGTATTGGGAACCTGGGTCGATTCCAATGCTTGTGAAATGACCTTTGAGATGGCGACGAAAGACTCTGTTGACTCCTTGCCCCCTGAGATAGTTATACTTAGCGTGCTCTAATGAGGACGAGGATATCCCTACCCTTGAGAATGGCTGCATTTCCTGATTTGATTGCAAGTGAAGCGATGTTGGCAATCACTTCCGGACGAGCCTCGAAGATGATCAAGAGCACACCAATTGGGCAAGAGACCCTTTCGAGATCTAGTCCATCATCAAGTCTTGTGCGTAATGTAACCTTTCCAACTTCAAACATACATTAGCGAGAAGTCCGTATGCACGAAACAACCGCAGTACACATACCTGGATCCTCCAGCTCTCGAACATCTAAAATTCCCTTTAACATATCCTCCCACTTCCCTTTTTTTGCCAAATCTAAACGTGAGACGATGCTTGAGCTCAGCTCGCCATTTTCTGCCGCCTTCTGAGCCAAGGCCAGATCCCGAGCATTTGCAGCAATAATTTCATCTTTTGAAGCAGAAAGTACCGAATGAATCGCTGTTAGAGCATCATTTCGAGCTGAAGTTGGCAACGTTGCCAGGATATGTGAAGCTGATTTTGCTGCTTTAGCAGCATCCTCTGGCAGAGCATTCGTGAGAGACATTATAGTCTTTAGGACGAATAAGTGCTTGGGTCAAGATTCACTGAATGTGACTCCAGATTTTGATTAGTGCTGATACTGTTGATTTGGGACAGATAATAAAGGAAGATTTTATTGCAAGGAGGATAGAATGAACGACAGGGGTGAATGTAATAATACGCTAAAATAGGGCCGACTAAATTCCGATCTGGGGAATATCTGCCCTGCCCAAGTACAGAGTAGGTATCGCGAGCTCCGTCAGCCTTGCACCTCACCTAAACAGCCTCCGACATACTCTTGGTCTCAAGCCGATTCTCACGACAGGATCGAGACGCTTTTACTTGTACCAGAAACGATATTTCATCTTCCATAAATATTTCGACGAAACAGTACTCGTCCAATCTACCCCTCTAAGAGCTAGGATAGAGCTTCCTTCGCCCACTTCGACGCTTTGCAGCGCAGCGAACGAAGGGAACGACCACGAACACACCAATCTTAGTACACCAGTTCAAAATGGATGTACTACACCCATTAATGCTTTCCTTCCCTCCAGATCCTCTCTCACAAAGCCCTCTCTCTGACCAAGAATACGACGCCGCAATCAGAGAGCAGATCGAAGTGTTGAAGAAGTTAGATGAAGCCAAATTCTTTGAGAAGACCACGGGTGGGGGGAACTTATTAGATGTAAGTCCGCGCTGCATAAAATTTCTTTGAAATTCTGATTCTAATACAACTAAGGTCATCGACCCAGCCCTGAACACCGTCCCGTACACGTACATTCTGATGGCAAATATTCGCAACTACCATAAGCACCACGGCAAAGATATTGATATCGATAGCCTCTGGGGAAAATTGACGAACTTCCTAAGTGTATTCGACCCGAGACAGATCAGGTATCTTGGGGAGGCTCTCTGCTCCATCATTATGAACGTGGCAGAGATGGCTCGAGGCAATAACAAGGCTCGTACACCATCCATCGTGAAGGAAGCCCTATTAACAAGTGATAGCCCGGACTTGCAGTCCCTCCGATTAGAAACGCGCTGTTGCGGCTGGACCCGTCTGGTAGCATGCTCACTTCAAACCATCTCATTCTTGTCAAGCTCGCTCTAGAGTCTGGGAGTTACATGGACGTCACTCCGGTCATCGACAAGTTCATCCTATATTTTCCAGGATTCTCAGACGTTCCAAGGCCAAAGTACCTCTGCGATATGAGTCTCAGTCCTGCCGCCTTCCTTACACCCACCTTTAAGCTCAGCGACAACCTCAGGTACCAAAGTATCCTGGAATATTTTCTCTGGAGTGCGATGGTACACATGGGGCTGCACAGTTGGGAGAGCGCACTACAATGTCTAGAAAGCGTAATCACATATCCCGCTATGGATTCGGCGAGTAAGATCATGACAGAAGCCTATAAGAAATGGGTCCTCGTTGGCCTTGTGCACCAGGGACGCCTGTTGAGATTGCCAAAATCTACCAGTGTGGGCCCCGCAAGAGCATATCACATTATTGGCAAGCATTACGAGACTTTGGCTAACATATTCGAGAATGGTACTGCGTCTAGACTGAAGGCCGAGGTAGATGCAGCAATGCACATTTGGAAAAAGGATGCCAATTATGGATTGGTGATGGAGGTTTTGGAGGCTTTCCAGAGATTCCAGATCCGTGGTTTGACACAGGTCTACAGCAAGATCTCAATCCCAGAAATTCTCAACCAGACTACAGATGCTGTAACCGGATCAAAGCTGCCCACACCACAAGCTTGCGAGGATCTCGTGCGGGCTATGATTCACGCAGGAGATTTGCAAGCCACCTTGAGCAATCCTCCAAGCGGTCCCTCGATCCTTACTTTCCTTCCATCCAGCCCAGCCTTGACAGAAGCCCAAATGCAAAGAGAACTCGTGGGAACTTCGGCACGAATCCAAGCTTTGACGGAGAAGATAAAGCAAACCGATCGGATGCTGACCCACGACAAGGATTACATCAAGTTCATCCATAAGCAGAAGAGAGCCAAGGCGGCACGTGGGGGAAACGATGATCATGATGTTGCGCAAACATCAGATTGGGATGATATCAACGACGACGAGGATATCATGGGTGATGGGGGGTATTGAGCTTTCAGAGGTCGTATAAGGGAGGTACAATAATTTCATGGATGGTCAGGGCTTATTGATGAGCACATGCATTACGAGAGATGATGGTGTTATTTCGCTGTGCGCGGCACTTTGAGATAGTATCCTCGGGTGAGCAGTCTTGCTTGGGTTGGCTGCATCTGGAGGCTGGAGTAGACGAGCTGATGATTTCATGGTAAATTATGGACAAATGCACGGAATGCCTAGGGCTGATGCAAAATAGAGACCATTGCCCCTACCCAATACACAGAACTACCAGAATAACCTTTATATCCAAGTCCCTGGCTGATTTTCACTATCCTGAACAACAAGCCTGCCTGCCCCCAATTCAGAAACTTAATTTGGTCACTCATGATTTGAAGAAATGTCCGAAAGAAAAAGTAAAGAAGCTCCTTGCAAAGCCCAAGGCCTCCTTTCATTCATGTTTGAAACTATCAGGGCTATCTGCACTGTATACAAGAAGTCGAGCAATTATCTGCCCACGAATTCAAAGTCCACCCACCACCACTCCAGGAGCACGCCCCTGCTTCAATTCCTCAAGACACTAAAGCTATCATTAACAGAGTAACTCATGATTCGTAAGCAACAAATGAAAGCCAACGACACGCTTCATCATTGCCCGTCAACCACTAACCTACTACTCTCCCCTCCCCTTGTAACTACCCATCTTCTCGATGTTGCTCATGATGCCACTGCGATATCCCAACCCGCTCCCTGGTCGGCTCGTAGCCAGGGCACTACCGCTCCGCTCACGACTGCTCGCTGCTGAAGCGGGGGCACCGAACCCTCCTCGGCCGATTCGCGACTCTCCTCCTCCTGGCTTAGCGATACCGGTCGGTGCCCTGAGACCCGAAGCCCGGGAGAGGCTGCCACGGAGATCCTCGACCTTCGAGTGCTGGGCTTGGGTATTTGGAGTCGGTGGAGCGGCGGCCGGCAGGTTTGCTGGGACAGAATCCATTTTGGCCAGCATATCGTCAAAGGCCGCTACGAGCGGTATCATCTCGTCAACAGCCTGCACCAGCTTACCCTTCTCGATCCGCTCCTCGTCCAGGAGTTTACGAAGGTCGGAATTATCCTGCTTGACACTTCTGATTTCATGGGAGAGACCTTCGAGCTCGGCTTCTAGCTCTTTGGATTTGGCATCCCTGGCTGCTGCCTTCTCGCGCTCCTCCGTGACTTCCAGAGCGCTTCTGGGATCGACCTTGGTCATGGTCAGATCACGTCTGAGGTCCTCGTTCTCTCTGGTGAGATCTTCGACTTGGTGCTCCAGCTCTGTGATCTTCTTGTCCCATCTTCGCTCGTAGCTCTTCTTCAGGGCGGATACCTTGGTCTCGTGCTTCTCTTTGTACAGTGTGTGAAGTTCTCTGGAGACTTTCTCGACTGCAGTCTCAACTGCTCTGCCTCCGCAGCCGCACTCTCCTGGCTTGTTGTCGTGAGGCTCTGGGCTTAAGCCCGGAGACGATTTCCCTGCCTTCATAGCAGCCATCTTGCTTTCGGCTTCCTGGGCCATGATCTCGGCGGCCTCTCTTCTCGTCTCACTCTCGTTTAACCGTCCCTCAAGCTCGTCGCGCTCGCGCTCTCCATGGACAATCTCTTCCTTCACATTTCTTAGCACAGCCTCCATCTCTCGGCCTCTCTTATCCCATTCCTCCTTCTCAGCTGCCAGTTGTTCCTTAAGGCCTCTTTCCTCGCGAACTTGCTCCATGGTTTCGCCCACACGCTTCTCGGCGTCCCCAACAGCAGTCTTGAGCGATTGAACTTCGGCTTCTTTGCCGCTCAAGGAAGCCTTCAGGCTACTGATTTCGGATAGGAAGTTTGACTTCAAACTTTCGAGTTCGCGAGGTGTAATAGAGGGCATGCTTCTGGGAGTAGGCGCCGGAGGAATATCGAAATCTAACAGATTTGACATGGTGTTTCTTTTCATCGACGGAGTTGTGGCCCATGGCGCACCCGCAACGGTTGCAGATTCCTTCAGAGGAGATTGGCGTCCTTGTCGCATAGGCGACTGCCCTTGCGCGCGGCCAGAGAACCCATGGAACTGTTCCGTGAAGTCCAGAATCAAGTTTGTTGTGTTTCCTTCGTCCTTACTCGTCCCATATCTGTGTCCGCGCGGGGTAGGGGAAGGAGAGTAGTCATGCGCTGGTCGTCGAAGTGTTGCGGGAGTGTTCATCTGGGTCCGTCGCGGTGTTGGCCCCAGTGAGGCAAATTTGGTAGGGCTGTGGCCAATCTTTGCAAACATCGTCATATCCGGTACAGCAGAAAACTCGCTGAATGTACTGACCATCGTATCGTCCATGCTGGGTTCCTCGCTGTGACCTTGCTTTTCGGTTTCATAGATTGTTGATGTATCCTCCGAAGGTTGGTCTTCGTTCGAGTCGCTATCCTCGTCCTCCAATATCTCGATTGCCTTGGTGAGACCCTCATTATCTCGCAGGATATCCTCCATATTCACGGTTCGTTCAGTCACCACAGGACACTTTTCGGGCGAGGCAGACCTTGCCGGGGAGGCAGCAGCTGTAGCGGGCAGAGAAGGCTTGACGGGAAACCTTTTATCTGGTGATGAAAGCTTGCGGATGCTTCTCGCAGGCGAAATATCTCTGCGTGGCGAATGCCCCACGGAAGTTGGAGATGTGCGACTCTTAAGCAATTTTAAGGGGGAGGTGTGGTCGCGCTCGATCGGGCTCTTCGCTGAGAGTTGAGAGACCTTGCTGGGTGAGAAGTTCTCGCGGTTGTCGAATGAATCTGATGAAACGTTTGTGACAAGGAGAGGCGACGGCGGGCTCTCGCTATCGGCAGAGTGCATGGTGACCTCGTAATGGTGCAGAGTACTTGTTTTGGTAGGACTCGTGGGAGCGGAGTTCAGCGAGGATTCTTTGGAGTCGGTCAAAGGTGCTGCTGACATGCCGATTCGTGCTGGTGTATTTCGAAGACCGCTTATCATGGCTTGTGTGTTCGTGGTTTTTCCAAGTCGTGGGGTTGAGAACATCTGCGTCCGGGCGAATCTGAGAATCTGAATCACAAATGTTTGTTGACACACAATTGTTGTTTATTGACAACCCTCTAAATGTGGAGGTAAACAAACCTAGGGATGCTGAGGTAAGGAACCACTCATTTTTATCTTGGCACCCGCTTTCCCCAGACCCGCATGAATGTCAGGCAGGCAGGCAGGAAACAACCACCATTTCCGTGCATATGTATTAGAAGTCAGGTTCATCAGGTTCGTCAGGTTCGATATCTCATAAATACAAAGTCATTATAGTCATTCATGTAATTCCGGCTTGGACCTCCTGTCATCCCAAAGATCAGTATTCCCGGGCTCCAAACTACCGTACAAAGCCATAACGCCAATTCCGCACCTAGCCGTCTGAACCACCCAGCCTAACCCAGCATCGCCATGCATCAAGCACTGACTGGCATATAGGTGCTTCCAAGATACCTCGGAGTCAATTTGACAGGTGAAACGTAAAACCCTTCTGTATCCAAGAATTGAAAATGCCACCAATTGAGACAGACCCAATGTCCAATCCTGCCAGTCAGGCAAAGCCAAGTTGATAATACAAATCATAAAGAGCAGAGAACGGTTACGATCTCTATGCATTCAAGAATTCGTCCAAGAATTCATTGAATAAATCTGGGTGATTGAATACCCGCAATCGTCAGGATTCAATCCCCGGGTCTCCTGTCGTCGATATACTGCTGTGGGAATTCTTGAGCATCCCATACACACTCCGCTGATTTTTTGGTGCCACTTTAAGATTCGTATACTTCGTTTCGGACAATCGTTTCCCGGCTTTCAGGCTTTCAAGCACCCTGTGTGACAATATTAGCATTAAGCGATTCCGCAGCGGGATTGCAAGAGATGGCGATTCATTCTCCCAAAATACCGGGAGCTGACATGACAATTTATCGACCGGCGGGCGGCCCCGAGAACATAGCAGAAATGAAACCTACCATTCAACGCCGATATACTTAACACCACATCCTCCTACCCTTCGAATCTCTTTCTCCAACTTGGTCCCAGAGAGGCCACCGCCTGCTCCCATTCCTAACGTTCCCGAAGGCTTCCCAAGTATAACATCTATGTAACCAAAGAGTCAGCAATTTCCATAAGAGATCGTTGCGGAGAGGTGACGCAGCATGTCAACTCAAGTCCCGAGACGACCAACATAAACTCTCCCAATACATACGCGTAACCTGTCTCCTTCCAAGGTGGAGAGACATTTTCGCCCCATTCTCTGCGAGGACGTGCTTCAGCTTGTGGTCCGAGATCAGAGGATGGGTGCTGCCGTTGACATAGATGACAAGCCCGTCAAAGATGCCCCTTTTGCGGTTCAGCTTCTCCTCTTCTTTCAAGTCGTCCTCTCGTCTTCTTTGCGCCATCAGCTTGTCTTCTTCGCTTAGAGTAACTATTACAAAATCAGTATCCGGATCTCTCTCTGAGATTGGGATAACGTACTACCCATTCCGCTTCCATAGGGCTCTTTCCTAGTAAACAGATCTACCACACTGACTCTGGCCCTCTCCCTAACCTCCTTGGATATCAAAGCCTTGGCTTTCTCGTCCCAATCTTTTGACCCAGCGCCTACCTGGTCTGATATCCGTTTCCCACCCATACCTCCGCTCTTGAATTGGTGGGAGAGCTTCATATTCCGCGATTGCCTCCATCCTGTCGAGCGCCCTATGGCGTTCTCTGCTCGTTGGTGGCCTGTCGATGACGAGTTCCATGCATCGAAGTGAGCCGAGAGCTTTGGCTTTGCAGCCGGAGGTATCGAGGACTTTGGAGGCGGCATTCTGCCTACCGATGAGTTCTGTGTGAGAACTGCGGTGCTACCGTCGTCCTGGCAGAGGCATCCGCTGTACCTACGAATTCTGCTGTCGTATGGAGTCCGAGGATCGCGGGGCAAGTTGGCGTGGCGACCGCGCGTTGTTGTAACGACATCACGTGTTAGATTTCACTCGCTTACCCCTTCTTACAACTTACCATAACCTTCATCATTTCCAAGATTCTGTACAATCTGCAATCTGCAACCTGCAATCTGCAATCTACAATCTACAATCGGCAATCTTCACGCCTCTGCATCACCCGTCAATTCCACTTTGTGAGGCGGCTAACCAAGATCTGCAATGCCTAGAACCCAGTGGGGCTGTTCTCAGAGCGAGCCCAGCCTTGCCTGCAGCAGCATGATCGCGGTCTTTCTTTCTCAGTCCTACAGTCTCCAGCTACTCAAGTCCATTCAGCCCGCAATTTTGTTTTAATTCTATGTACCATGCATTCAATACCATCCAATTTACGTGGCTCACGTTCTCGAAAAGGCTCACAGCGGCTGGACAGCTCCTTGTTGGAATCGCTTCTTATACCCACCCTTTCAAGTCTCTGGGGGTACAGAAAGCAGTACAAGGAAGGGCTGGCCTCTGATTTCCATGGTGTCTGGGGGAGGCAACATGCACGAAGCCGCTTTGCATTGCAGCCACCGGCTTCCTGCAACATCGTTGTCAGAGATCGAAGCAGGCAGGTATGTCGTGCGTACGAGGAGGAGCTTGATGCATTGGCATTTGCGCAGCCCTTTCCTGCGTGTGGCGCACATTGCCACATCTCACGATTGTTTACAAACCTACGGAGTTTCTAGAGATTCTATGCAGAAATACATGCATCTTCATACTGGCTGGCTAATGGCAAGCAGGCGGTCCAAATATCAATACAGCTCCAGGCTCAACCCGGTGTTGGATAAGGCTCGACGAGTTGTACTCGTTGAATCCAAGACATTGCAACTTATGCAAGTGCAATATAAATATCAGTCGGTTAGATGGTTCTGAACACGAGTGTTGCACAGTTTCGTTTACGAGCACATTTTAGAGTGGGACCGCCCCATGTGATCATCACGAGAACTTCGACTGGCCAGAAACTCCTCCGAAGCGGCTAAAGCCGTCTCTCGTCTCTATCTACAACTACATCCTGTCATTGATGCCTTGAGTCTGCAGGTGGGGGTCAGATTCCGGGTTCTACAGAGTACATACTGTTCCGTACACAAGCCTACCTAGTAGGACATGATTATTATCGAGGCTCTCCTGATTTTGCCTTGCCGAGGCTTACTGTATGAATTGCGCTTTTGTATATATATATATATATATATATATATTGCAACGTAAAGGGACAAAAGACAGGATCCTGAGCTTTGTTATATATATATATATATATATATATATTGCACTAAAGGGCAAAAGCAGGATCCTGAGCTTCCACGCAGGAGATTCCTGAACAGCCAAGTCAAGTCTCCCCAGCCCGTGTCCGACCGGCCCGACGAATTGGAATCCCGACGAATTCCTGGCTTTAGCGGCCCGTCCTCCTTCATCTCCCTCGATACTCGTCTCGTATTTCATTTACTCATCAATCTAAGCGGTGGCATTGATTGGACGTTGGAGACCCATGATTCGTATGAATTTAAAAACAGCCGATACTTTTATTCAACGCGTGATTTTCTTCCCTGTTTTATTGGGTCATTCATTGATACGCCCCGTCCTTCCCCTTCCCTGCCGCGCGAGGAAAGGAGCGGTGAGTAGGATCCTAATCCTCGACGAGAATAGTGGAAAGCCACACTCGTCTACGGATTCGACTTGATTATCCTGGGCCCGATATCACGGTATTCGCTCACAATTTTGCTTTACTTGTTGCCATTTGTTAGTCGTCCGTTTTCAGGAACTGTCGCTATGGAATCGGGGAGCTCTCGCTCCAGGCCGTTCGGTGGTGGCACGACAATGTCCGGTGGCTCTCTCTTATCCGATAAGTATCATACCCCTACCACCTAAGATGTCGTGCGTTACAATAGCCCCGGCCAAGAGTGGACGGACCGTTACGGTACCGCCTTGTCTGTTTCTTTTTTATTTTCAGATCTGTAATCCGTAGATCTGTCCATGAGGGTCTTCATAAGCGACTCCTCGAATCGTGTTTCTGCTCCACACTCCGGATGGCAGGACTCATTAGGCTGCTTGCTATAGTTCGTCAAGCCCGCTCTAAATACAGTAGTAGTAATCCACTTCACCCACACCACCACACTACACCATGCGATGCGATGCGATGCGATGCACTGTGTTAGTGTGGCCGCTGCACTGCGTTTATACAAAGCTTGGCATGGGCAGGAGGCGCCAAACCACGACGACGACGTGGTCCATGTTCATTGGGGTAACCTTAAAACCGCCACGGGACTACTAGTAATACTTGGATCGGCGGTCCGGTGAGGAAATTGTCTTGACAAGTACGGTGAGAGGGGGCAATCGGCTTACCGAGACGATCGCCAATACTTCTAATTACTCCATCAACCGGCCGCCTTCAATTTGACTTCACGGCCTACGAATCTCCACTCCCCGAGCTTTCTCGACTCTGTACGGGATACTACTACTTGTACACCGGAGTCCAATTGTCCATTGGGAAGGTGCGCCTGAAGTATCAGCGCAAAGGCTATGAAACCGGCTAAGGGCTCTCCCTGTCGACGCCCATCATCCTCTTGTGCCCGGCCGGACCGATGATTGGATGTGTTCGAGCTGTGCGTAGCCGCTCTGCATAAGGCATGCAAGCACAGCAAGGGCCATATATCCATATCCAGTGAAAGCGTCTTGGAAAACGCTGCAGGGACCGCTGTCGGGCTTCGGACGGTGCAGGGGGGGTGGAGGCGGTGAGGTTGTACTTCTACAACTAGGAATGTAAGAATACGTGGGTCACGTATTGCCAATGAATTGCTCCTGGAAAAGAGGAGTACGACCAGTTGAGTCGAATCATGGAATCATGGCTACGCTTGTCTTGATCGAGCAGCAGCAGACACGATGGAGTGGGGTACGTTTTATCGCAAGACGGAACTCGAGAACTTCCGAGTCCTGGGCGTCAGCAGAGCGAGCGGACTTCCTCCCTCCTCCCTCCTCCCTCATCCCTCGAGACCATCATGGTGTTTCGGGGAGCCGCATCGACGCTGCAGAGACATACATACTTCTACATGCTTGGAGGATCTCCTGCGCTCCACGCCGCCGCCCAGGAGATTGGAGGAGGAGGAAACCCTGATCTCGCATCTTTCACGAAGAGATGTTTTCAATCTCGATCCAAGGGAATCAGCTCAGCAGCCTAGTAGTACTCTACCAGTGTTTCCCAAGAGACAAAGTCTGGTAGCAAGCAAGTAACTCTCCAATTTAGTAACAGAATGTTTGCTACTACTGCACTCTACTCCTGCTCGATGACGCATTCTTTCCCAAACGTTTTGAAGGTCAGATGAGACACGAGGTCGACGAACAATAATGCTTGGAAACCAATCGGACAGTGCAATTATAAACAGCTACGAGTTTAAACTTCGCTTGAGCTGAAGCATTATTCAACGGCATGCTGTACGAGGTATCTTTACGGCCCTTGCGTCGTGGCCAGACGGGTTGGCGTCTTCGAGGATGAATCGTGAATTTCGACAAGGGATGAGAGTGTGACGAGATGCTCGCCTATGACAGAAGAAATTCAAGCTACCATCTTCGAAGCAAGAAATCTGAATCAAGGCGAATAAATGGATGGCGTTCCGTGGCTTGGGGAACTGGCTGAAGCTCTCCGAGCCAGTGGTCTTCGACCACGAAGACGAGGCCAAATCTATGGTTGTCACAAGCTCTTGATACCGGGAGCAGCTGAGGGCAGGATGAATCAAAGCAATCACGTCCACGTTTTCCATCAGGCTACCAGGTACCGTACGGTCCGGGGACGATACGGTCCGGTCCGGTCCAACTGGCTGTTATTGTTATCAGAACCAGCCGTCGTGATCTGGGTCCACGCGATGTTGAGCTTATTATTCCGGGGACCACAACCGATATGTGAGCTCGTCAAATATTTCTTGAAGAGGATGGGTCCAAGACGAGCCTTGGCGTATAATAATTTCTCTTGCCAGGAAACAATGCCGCCGATCTGACTGGGACTGTGGAAAGAGAGCTAGTAAGTAGTAGCTGCCCAGTGCCTACTACCGGTATGTACGTACGTAGTATTACGTATATACGGAGTATTATTGCTTGCCTACCCTACCCTCCCTTTACCCAAGTCAATAATTATACTCGCTGTACCGCTCGGTACTTCACCTCAAAGCAGCAAACAGGTGCGGGCCAAGCAGTATGGCGTGGTGGGTTGTGGGTTGTAGGTTATGGGCCATTTCGGGAGATGCGGGAGGTTGGAATGGCTTCCTGCTTCCCGCACTGCAAATAACTTCCATGCGTCTTCTCTGCCCGCCAAAACGCACTTACGGTACTCTACCACATGTGCGGTAGTGTACATACATACACATACATACATACGTACATCCGTTCATAGCTTTCAGTCTGCCGGTCTGTAGGCGTGGACGTGAGCGTCGGGATCCCAGAAAATGCTCGAACAGACAGACAGACAGACAGACAGACAGACAGCAAGCAAGCAATCAGTCTAGAAGCCTGCGGAGGGCTGGGGTGCGGATAAGCGTGTTCCACCACACGATTACTATCATTATCTGAACACCCTAGCAGGAATGTCAAGAATTTCAAGGTCCACGTCCGGTGTCAGTATCGGATGGCGGCGAACTTGGATCATTGATACGTTCGCCTCTCTCTCCCTCTTTCTCGCTTCCACCTCGGCTGAAGAAGCATCTCTTCTCAAACTCGCCATTTTGACTTCATCGTCTTGGAGAGCTCCGCAATGGCCAATTGAAAAGATGGTTGAGTTACGATGATATCCTTGTCTCTGTTCACATGTGGGGAAATGCAAAGGGTCCGATGTCCAGGGACGAGTCGTCGAAACAATATTGATACGAAGTCGCGCTTGGCGGATTTCAAGCAGTTACGACTGACTAATTCTTTTTCCAAAGTACGGAGAATGAAGTATGCCGATTCCGATTCCTTTTGTTTGACAAGCCTCGGTTAAGATGTTGTACATGTCATGTCGGTCAGGAAGGCTGGATCATTGCGATCCCTTTCCCCGGGTACTGTACTTACCTAGGTAGCTACCTACCTTACATGCTGCCCGCCAGCTACCCAGCTACCAGCTACCAGCTACCAGCTACCCAGCCCGCCAGTGGTAGCCAGCCCGCCAGCCCGCCCGCTTTAGCAGACAGTCAGAGCTGCATAATCTGCTCGCTGCGCATCATGTCTACTGTAATAGTGGGAGTTGACCTACCAACTGTGGGCCAACTTTGGGGGCACTTCCCTAGTATTTACTGTATTATCTCTCTACAGATGCGATGCGAGGATGCCCACCCGATTGTTAATTTTGATTGCTATTAAACCGGAGAACATACGCCTCATGGTTCGTCCTTCTTACCGCAGAAGAGCCAGGCTATTTTGTGCATCTGCACTCATGCCAACTCCAAAAAGCTTCTGTCCAGCCCGCATAGGCGATTCGACTACACTCTGCACAGTGCGTGCGGCGGCAGTGCAGCAGGAAGTCAATTACTACGTACGCGGTCGGAGAATTGATCATGAACAGGCCCCAGCCTCCCTACAGAGTCGTTCGGCTCGTGCTCTGTGCGTTGCCTTTCAGGCTTGATCGCTGCACTGCAACTGCAACTGCAACTGCAACTGCGCTACACCTGTGCTGCTGCTGCTGCTGCTGCTACTGCAGACGGGATCGGGATCTTCTTGCTTTTGCATGTCACTCTTTTTCTTTCCTTCCTTTTGATACTCTCTAGCTAGCTAGCTTGCCCATGATCCAAACGGGCACTGCACTCAGACTGCAGATGCACATATGTACCCCGGAATTCATCTTGTGGAAACATGAAGATCCGCAAGCTATAGTTTTTTTGGGGGGGGGGGGGAGGGGAAACACGCAATGCGTTCGTTGAAAGGAGTCTCGAACACGGTTTTTGCGATTGCATATCCCACCCTCTCTTTCTTTTTAGCTTTGGCTGGGGACAGACCACAGGCAACAGATAGTAGCTTTTTCTCTTCTTCCTCATCAGCGGGCCGCGGCAGAGGCTGTATCCGTTGAGCCCCCAAGGGATGCCGGAGAATAGAGGTGATGCGTAAAGTAAATAAAGTAAATAAAGTAGGTCGGTACGACGTACCGGCCGATGTTTCTGATTTCATTTCTTGCCTTGTTATCCATCAGGTCAAACTGCAGGAGGGGCTCAAAGCGCACGAGGTCGTACCGGCGCTCATATCAGAGAGTCGCATCAGGGCTGCAACTGGAGGTGATCTGCGCGGGCTGGACCCCTTCCTCTCGCTCTCCCTCCGTACAAGAACTTCACACCGCGGAGGGAGGGGCGCTTCTGTTTCCATAGCGGGGGTTTGCATGCTTCTGAATTTTTTTCTTCCCTGTCTGGCGCCTGATGTGCAGCGCTGCTGCTGCTGATGCTGGTGCTGCTGCTGGTGCTGCTGGCTGGGCTTGAACCCGTTCGTTCGTTCGTTCTCCTAGACGCCGCGGTTCAAAGTCGAATCAAGAGCGGACGGGACCGTGCTGCGCGCTGCGACAGAGGACTGCGCGGTTACGGAGGGTTTTCACACGCAATGGTAGTGCATGCAGGAGAAGTCAAAAATCCCGTCCCGGGGGGGGGGGGAAGGGGGGGGCTCTTCCCTGATGTCAGAAATTCCTTAGTTGCTACGAAAAATCCCGGTCGCTTACGGTAGAGATGAGCATGTCCGAGTGGTGGCGGACGAGTTACTTTTCCGGATGATTAGGTGGTTCGGCGTGGCTGGAGTAAGCGCCGCTTCTGCCTGGGGAAGAGAGGGGATGGATGGCAGGGCATTTTGAATCATGTTCGACATGGCGAGATCGAGGACAAGGTGCTTTGTTTGTTTTGTTTTTGGTTTTTGTTTTTTTGTTGTTTTTTTTTGTTTTGGTAATTTCGTGTCTCGGTAGGTGGCGGGGGGGTTAGGTTTTGGGTGAACCCCTGGATCTGAACTATCTATTGTGTCCATCATCAAAGGCAATCTCTATGTAGCTACCTATCTATTTACAGCTATCTACCTATCTACCTATCTGTGTATCTATCAATCTATCAATCAATCTATCTATCTTTCTCCGTACGGAATCTGACAATCTGACAACCTGACAATCTGACAATCTGACAATCTGTCTCTCCGTCGGTGGCGGGACATCCCTGTGTCCGAGCGTGAGTTCTCTTGGCTGTTTACTTGCTGTATTGTTGATCTGATCCGATGGCAGGACATTAGTTATAGTAGCACTACGTACATTACAGCATGTCGGATATACGTAGTACTACTAGTACGTAGAAAAAGGGAAAAAGGGAAGAGGCCCGGCCACCGACTAACGGTAACCCTCTCGGCTCTCCTTCTTTCGGAGCTACCCCCCCAAACGGGTAATAGCCCTCCCATGTCCTAAAGAGGTAATGGTTTCCTCGTTTTTCCCTTGGCTTTTTGGCTTTTTTTTCGTTTATTCCCACTTACTCGCTCTGGGTGCTTGCTTCAGCTTCACGACCCCCCTCCCTTCCTTCACCGTGCCTTTACCAGCCTCTCTCTGCCCTCTGCCCCCGCGCTAGCTAGAGTAGAGCTCGGCCAGCAAGGCAAGCCTCTACCGATACTACGTACGTACGTACGTACAGTAGTACCTACCTCCCATACCACACGGCCCAGCCACGTTATTTCTTTTCCTCCCTTTTACGCTGTCCTCACTTCTCCCACTGATTCACCCAGCGGGCCGTTTCCTTTGTCCTTGGTTAATCCCGCCTTGATCTGATTGATTGCAGGCCCCGAGGGGGATGGATCGCGAGTCCCTACCTCGTGGGCGGGTGGGATGACGGATGTACGGTGGTCGTCAGTCTCTGGCTGATGGGGATTTTCCGTCTCTCGACCTGCGGCACCACCGCTGGCGACCTTTTCCTTCTGTCTTGCCCGGCTTTCCTTTCTCTCTTGCTGCCTTCCCACTGCTCCCGCGTCGATCAGCTTTCCCTCTTCAGGGCGCCGCTGCTGTATCGGCTGGCGGCACAGGAGATATCGGGCGACCTGCACCCTGTGGCTAGCTAGCCCGCCCGCTACCTAGGTTTACTCCGTCCGGACGCCATTTCCAGGCCCGGCTCGTGTCGCCTACTGCTAGCGTGCAATCCCGCTCAGCGACCGCAAGTTAACCGCAATACTACATACAGTACAGACCGATACGGACAGGACAGTCGCAGTCGCAGTCGCAGTCGCAGTCGCAATAGCAGTAGCAGTAGCAGTAGCAGTAGCAGTAGCAATAGCAATATTCCATCAATGCTTTATTAGCTACAGGGATCCTGTAGCGAATGGAAACGACGGCGGTAGAACTCCGGCTGTTCTTGTTTGGCAGCCACTCCAGCATCGGGTAGCCCCTTGCAGCCTAGTGCCGCTACTCGACATGCCGTGGCTAGGAAATTCTTGAATGACGGATAGGCTCTAGTTGTGGTTTTAGAAAGTACGTAGTACTACGTCGCAGGCGTAAGTATTACCCCTCGAGGGTAGGGAAAACAGGGGGTTTAAAGTGGAAACTAAACTTTTAAGGCACCCTCGAGGGGTAATACTTAGGCCTGTACCGTGGTACGTAGTACGTAGTACAACGTAGGAAGGTTTGATGGAGTCAGAAGTAGGTTCGGTATTGTACTACTCCTAGTACGTAGCTAATGAGCCTGGCAGTTTGGTCTATTCTGGTCTGGTCTGGACTAGTCTGGTCTGGTCTGGTCTGGTCGGTTTGGTCGACCTGGTCGGTCTGTCCTGTTCGTTCGCTCGCTCGCTTGTTTCTGAGGTTTCTTTCTGCTTCTCGCTTCTCTCTCTTTCGGTCTCTCTACGGTCTTTGCACTTCTCTCTCTCTCTCTCTCTCTCTCT